CACACAATCATCATGTCTTGGAAACAGGAAATAGTTTACCTAGAGTGGAGACATTGCAGCCCCTGGGTCTCCTTCACCCTGGGTTCTTTGTAAGGGTTCTTGTTAAACTACTCTTGTTCAGAGATCACATTATAGAAAATGGTCGAATTGGACAGGACCTCAGGGGTAACCTGGGGCTGCTACAAAAAAAGGAAACTGAGACTTGATGAGGTGAAATGATTTCACTAAATTCACTCAGACTTAAATCTCCCAACTTTTCACACAGGACTATTCTTCACTACCTGCTGCCTCTCTCCCAGACTCTCCAACACAAAGTTTCCCAACCTTGACATTATTAACATTTTGGGCCAGATCATTCTTTGTTGTAGGGGACTCCTCTATATTGAAGCAGTATCCCTGGCCTCTACCCACTAAATGCCAGTAGCACCCCCAACCCTCCCCCAGGTGTGACCAAAAAAAATGTCTCTAGATATTGCCAAATGTCCTTAGAAGCAAACTCACCATCGGTTGAGACCACTACTCTAACATAAAGGTCAACTGTTATGTGGAGAGCTCAGGGTTTGTCAGTATGTGGTTATTTGTGCTGCCAAATGTATAGCCCTGTGTTGGAAGCACCATGAAGCACATGTCACATTAAAATAGAGCCAGGACCATTTCTGATATCCATAGCCTAAGCAATATGGAAAAGGTGGAGACTCCCATGGCTACCTCAAATGCAGGAACGGCCAAGAGACTTTGAAGGAAGGTGAGAATATGTCACAGACATCTGTACCCAAGAAGATGACTACTCCAAACACCATCACTTCCTGTCTTCATTTAGAGAATCACAAGAAAGGAAAAGCTTCTCTATAGGAAGGAGGGGATGAAAGGGAGACACTGGGGCATACTTCAAGATGGGAATTACTCAACAAAGTAGGATGTGTGGGCTCTGCTGGAAGTCTTTACAAACAGAATGAGCCCTCTTTGACTGCTGTCCTCTAACACTGTTCCTGGGAACAGCCCCTACAGGTCTATCAGTTATATGTGTTTTTAACTCAGAAGCTGACAACTGGATTTGTAGAATGACTAATACAAGAGTCACATGGGAACCCAGAGGCTACCTTTCAGTTTGCTGCCTCAGGCAGTTCAAAGACAAGATCTTTCTTTCTGAATTCTTGCATGCCAGAAAGCCACCCTTCTTTTTTTTCTTTTTGCTCATTTTTGATTAACAATTTGGGTGTAGAATTCTAGGCTCAGATTTTCTTTTTTCAACCTACAACTCTGAAAATGCATGACGGTATTCTACCCCAAATAGAGAAAGGTTCCTAACAACTTCTTTAAAAGAGGAAAAGCATTCATATATAGATTTTTAAATATTCAGAGTGTTGGAAGGGCAAAAATGAAACATCAAGTCTGTCTCCCACTCAGTAGTTCTGGTAATTACAATTACAACTTTATAGAATACATATTTCTCCTATTTCTTGATTTATAAACTTTAGTCAGAGGAGGATTTTAACTTCCTCCTATGAAGGATGGCAAATTTAATCAATTTATACTCTTCCCTCTTCTTTTCAATTTTGCTTATCTAATTTTTATTATAATTAATTTTATACGGCAGATATATAAAATTTGCATTCTGTTTTATAACTATAAGTAAATATTCTATGCTTCATCTATTGTTTGAGTCTAAATGTTAAAAACCAATAAGCAGCATTTGTAATAATCTTATTATATGAATATTATTTACTGTAACCAAGTAGAGTGGTTAGAACACTATTAAAGGAAATATAATACAATGTCATTTAAACTTTGTTATTCAGAACATTGAGTGTCTTGCTAAATAAAGGGTCTATTTTTAATCTCTTTTTGATCTTGTTCACTTCTTCTGAGTTATAAAAAAATCACTGTTTCTTCAACATTAGCCACTTAGTTGGATTTTGTTTTGTTTAATCCTTATGCTGCTTTTTCCCCTTGTTCTAGCCTGCACTTTCTGAATTCTTGCATGCCCGAAAGCCACCCTCCTTTTTTTTTTTCTTTTTGCTCATTTTTGATTAACAGTTTAGGTGTAGAATTCTAGGCTCAGATTTTCTTTTTTCAACCTACACCTCTGAAAATGCATATGGTATTTTAATATTCAATTTTGTTGATGCCACGTCTGATTCTTGTCGTTTGCAGGCTTCCAGTTTTTCTCTTTGTAAGCCTTGAAGAGTCCTATTTTTCCTCCTATAATTATGGAATATTATAATATATCCATTCATCCTGGTCACACTAGATAGACCCTTACTCTCTGTAGACAAGTTGAGATTTCCTTAGTTAAGAGATTTTTTTCTTCTATTATTTCTTTCGTACTACTTTTCCTCCATGGTCTCTATCTTCTCCTTTTGGATCTTACTAAATAATTATGGATCATCTGGGTCTAACCTACATATCTTGAAACTCTTCTCTTACACATCTCTAACTTTTGCTCAAATTCTTAGAGATTTTTTTCTCTCAACTTTATCTTCCAGATCAACAATTTGGTCTTTACCATGTAATTAAATCATGTATTATGGGTTTTGGTTAATTTCAGAAACTTTATTTTTAATTTCCAAGAGTTTCTTCTTGTTTGATTGCTCCATTTTTTCTAATAACCTGTTCTTAAATCATGACTTGAAAAGCCTCTCAACTCTAATAATCTTATTAGAAAAATTTTAAAATATTTGGAATTGTTTAATTACTTTGGCACCCGCATCCTCATGTCTTTACTCAGTTTCTCAGTTCACCAGGCAGGTGGGGATTTCTACCATGCCAAAGTGGAGAGGTGGTTTACTCTAGGGTGAAAATTTTTGGTGGCCTCAAGATGTGTTTCTCTACCAAGCCCTCCCCAGTCAGCATCTCTACTTTCTTTAGAGAGCTATGGCCTGAAGAGAAAATTAACAGCTACCAGCTGATCTGTTGATACAGGAAGTACCTGTTTTAGCTGTTCTAACAACATTCTTTAATAAATCAACTGGATAAACTGGATGAAGAATCACTTTTGTCTTGAACTATAATTTGTTATAATTCCCTCTACCTTTGGTCTTTCAAGTAGTCAAAAATATCTCCTCTATGATTTCAATGAGCCGGGGGGGTGGGGGTGGGGGAGAAGAGAGGTATATGTGTATGCTGAGCCTCTCATCTTAAATTGGAAGTCCATCTATCCTATTTCCAGGCTAGTTCAGGGAAGAAGGTACCACACTCCCTCTTGCCAGCCTGTCGGTGTTATTCATGTCCAGCTGAACTCCTCTGATGCAGCGAAAGCCCACTTTTTCTTGTTCGATCATCTATAGAGCTATAGAATCATGGGCACCTTCCTCATCTAATTCTTCAGACATGTTATACCTGGTTACATTCTTCTTAGTTTCTCTGCTCCAAACTAAAAAAGTGAAAATCTCAAAGTCACTAAAATTTACATTCAGATGAGACTTTAGAGATCACTCCTGTTACTCTTCAATGAATCAATTTCTCCCCCAGCTTTACTGAAGTATAATTGACAAATAAAAATTGTATATATTTAAGGTATACAATGAAATGTTTAGATACATGTATGAATTGTAAAATAATTACCATAATCAAGCTAATTAACAACTCCATCACCTCACATGGTTAGCATTATGTATGTGTGTTGAGAACACTCGAGATTTACTCTATTAGAAAATATCCTGTATACAATAGAGTATAATTAACTATAATTACCATATTGTACATTAGATTTCCAGAACTTAGTCATCTTACAACTGAAAGTCTGTCCTTTAATCAACATCTCTCCATTTCCCCCACACCCCAGCCCCTGGCACAACCACCATTCTACTCGCTGTTACTATGAGTTTGACGTTCATAGATTCCACATATAAGTGAGATTATGCAGTATTTGTCATTCTGTATCTGGCTTTTCCATTTAGCGTAATGTCCTCCAGGTTCATCCGTGTTGCCCCGAATAGCAGAATTTCCTTCATTTTTAAAGCTGAATAATATTCCATTATACACGCACACATACACACACACACGCATGCACACACACACTCATTTTCTTTATCCATTCATACATTGACTGATACTTAAGTTGTTTCCATATCTTCACTACTGTGAGTAATGCTGCTATGAACATGGGAGTGCAGATATCTTTTTGAGATACTGATATTATTTCCTTTGGATATATACCCAGAGGTGGGATTGCCAGATTGTATGGTAGTTCTATTTTTAATTTTTTGAGGAACCTCCATATTGTCTTCCATAATGGCTCTACCAATTTGCAATCCCACCAACATTATATAAGGGTTCCTTTTTCTCTACATCCTCCTAACACTTGTTATCTTTTGACTTTGATAATAACCATACTAATAGGTGTTAGGTGGTATCTCATTGTGGTTTCCATTTGCATTTCCCTGGTGATTAGTGATGTTGTGTATCTTTCCATGTACCTGTTGGCCATGTGTGTCTTGTTTGAAAAACTGTCTGTTCAGGTATTTTTCCCATATTTTAATTGGGTTGTTTTTCTGCTA